AAAGAAAGAGCAGAGCCACCTCAGACTATGACTCAACTTTGAACTTTTAACCTCCCAAGTAAAGTATTTAAATTGTAAATGGTAGACCCTGGAAGCTTTCTTATTGCTATTAACTTCCTTCATCCCTGGTCATGAAGTTATAATTTGGGCCAAAAGCATAGCTTGATCTTTCCTTTTTATTTACTTAACCTCTTTTAGCAGAAAGGACTGAGAACACTATTTACCTAGAAATGACAGGTATTCTGGAGAAAGAAGTTAAGCTTAAAGGGTCATTGAATTTTGGAGCTAGAAGCAACCCTAGATGATCTGTCTGGCCTTCTCAGTTGTGAAAGAGAATAATGAAAACGAAGGAGACGAGTGACTTCTTAACGTCACACAATTAATAGGAGAATAAAAGAGCATCCTTGTATGAATAGCTGTCTTCTTTTCAGTAGTAGAGAGATTCAAGCATGATTGGGGTAAGAAATATTTCCCTATACAGCATAGGGGCCTAGAGGATCTGTGGCTTCTATTTTTACATTAAAATTCACGAAGTGAAAAAAAATCACTGGATAGGGAGTCAAGAGACCTGGGTCCTAAGTGACCCCTTCATTCCGTTGGTTGTATGACCTTAGGAACTCATTTGACTTTCCCAAGTCATGATCTGCTTGGTTGTAAAATGGAATGTAGTTGGGAGGAGGTAAGAAGCATCCTTTCTTTATAACCTCTTTTGGTTCAATAATATTCTCAACTTAAGAATTCTTGCTGTGATTCATGTTTAAACACTGTATAGATCAACAGCTGGTTTTTCTTAACATGGGGGATAGGGTTAGATGATTGTGATTTTAGGATAATTGGTTACGTCATGCTGAGCTTGATATTGATGATGAGGCTCTCCTTAACTGTAAGAAAAGACAAAAATCCCAAAGGAAAAGGGGAATATCATGTAAGGAGGCATAAGGGACAGGAAGGAGAAGAACAAAAGAACCAGGGCAAAGAAAGGAGTGATGACCAGGAGAAAATCCATTAGAAAGGAGGGTGACAACGAGAGAGTAGCCCCCTCAGTTGGATGGGGACCCAGCCAATGCTTGTGATACTGCAAAAGCCAACGACTACGTTGTGAATCTGCCGGAGCCGCACGCTGTTAATAGTGAAGCTTAAATAGGCAGCTCTCACTGGCACTTGTACAGCAAGCAGCATGTAGGAGAGCCAGTGTTAGGCGGGGCCCACTCTTCCCTCCTGCTATTTGCTAACACCTTTATTGCCTCCAGTTAGATACTCACACCACTCTCGTTCCCATCTGTCAAGGAGAGTTCCTTTCCAACATTCTGTCCTCCTTTTCTTGCACAAAAGAGACCCTCCCAGTGTGACTGCAAAGCATGGAGCTGATACTGAGCTCTGGGATGAGGCAAGCTTGAAGTGGTATGAGCAATGGTTTTCACGTTTCCTGGTCCTAAGAAGCCAGGGAGATGTGACTATAGGATCCTGCCTGAGACCCTCATGCAGAGACAGCTGGAGGGGAGGGAGAGTTGTCTGCCTGGAGGCCTGTCCTCTTGGCCTGGAAACAGAGGGTCTGGGGTCACGCCTGATCAAAGCTCCAACAGCAGGATTCGACTCCCATCGCAACACAGATGTTTACCCACCTATCTCCTCAACCACTCTCGGCTGCTTCACACTGATTTACTTCTACTTTACCACCCCCTCTGTTCCTTCTCCCTCGTCTGAAGGCCAGCCTCGGCAGGTGATTAGAGTTTGAGCAAGGGACGGGACTAATGTGACTGTGTCTGATCAGGTGATTGAGGTTGCAGACCAGTGAGCTGCAAATAACTGTTAATCGGGGTTTTTGGTGGGCAAAATTACCTAGTTTTTTCTCTGCTCAGTAAACCCTATTCATTCACTAAATTCCTCCCACATTTTCTAGTCTTGAATACATTCCTTCCTGTGTAGATGTCCAGTGTACAGTCATATTAACCTTAAGATCCTCTGAGGAGGGAGGTCACAGGTCACCAAGCAGAGCATGACTGTCATCACGAAATAAGTCATATTGCCTCATTGACACTTACTTTCATCAACATCTAGAAAGGAAATAAATAAAGGACTGAGTTTTGTCTGCCAGCTGCTCCTACAATGGAAAACATCACAATGCAAACAAGATATGTTGCACTTATGAAATAAAAAAACCCCCAAAAAACAAGGTTTTTGCTGCTATTCTCAGTGATAGGCTAAAGCACATTCCAGGTGGCTCGATTTGGGGCAATGACGATAATTCTATTTTTAAAAAATTTACTTATTTTTCTTTTTTAAAGCTTCTGTACCTTGAGGCAATAGAAAAAGAGCAGAGAGCTAAGCACAACCCAGCGAGCCAGCATCGTATAATTTTGTATGTGAATTATCTGCAGTGAGGACTCTCCTACAGCCAGGCCCAACAACCTCCTCTGGAGGCGGGAGAGTGGAATGCTGAGAAGGGTGGCCAAGCCCCTCACCTCATTTCTGAGCTGTCCCAGCTGCACCCAAGCTAAGTGGAAGAGCAGGATGCAGTAAGTAGACTTTGCTGACTCTGACTAACCACACCCTCACATCCCACCTCAGCTGGGAAGCCAAGACCTTGCAACATTACCTCTTTTGGCATGAGTATTTGAGTCGACGATAAAACTGAAAAAAAAAGGAAAATTGGAAAATCACACCAGCAAAAAGACCCTCTTCACTGTTTCCTTTCTCCATACATTTAGTAAAATAGATCCCCGTGTATTTGATATTATTCTTTTGGTTTGATGCACCCAGCTGGCAAGAGTAAGTTGTCTTTGGTGATTAAATTTATTAGAGCATCCATGCAAGTGCCAGGAGCTCCAGAGCCCTTAATGGAACTTTGGTAGGCAGGACAGCAGTAATTGTACAGCAGGTACGATGTAAGTGGGAGGGCAAGAAGCTGTAATCTTCTCCCTTCTTTTCCCCAGCAGCTCTGAGAGTGAACTAGTATCTAAATTAGGTGTTATTTTAGATTACAACTTGTCATACCTAATGGAAGTGACACCATCAAGCAGCCAGATGCCAGTTGGAAATTTATTGGTATCTAAGGATGGTAATTGTTGGCTCATTTATTCATTCAATAGGTCATTCAAATAACATGTATCATGTCCATCAAAAAGGTATGTCAGTTTCTGGACACAGGGATCTTTCAGTGATCCCTGAGATGTAAAAGAGCAAGTTAGGAATTATCACTGCTAAATGCCTGTTTACCTAGGACTGCTGGGCAGAGGTCATGCCTCCAGAGAAGCTCTGACATTTTATGGAATATTGAAAACAAGATTTCATTCTCTTTGTGGACGGCCAGAGAGACTGGTCCACTTTACTCCTGAGAGGAGAATTAAGAGGTTTTTCTACACATTTATGGTAGCCGTATGGGTGGGCCTCCATTTTACCTGCCACTGCCTCAAGCCGAGGGAGGTACAGTGGACCAAAATTTTACTAATCTATGTATCTAATGTCTACCACATGTAAGGCGTCATATAGGATAAAAGATAAATTAAACATTGGCCATCCCTGACCTAAAGGGAGAAAAACCTTTTTATACTTAATTGTAATGTAATAATAATTCTGGTAAGGGCTATATGAGAAAACAGACAGTCTACGGTAAGTTGCTTATAAGAATAACAGAGAGAAAAGTTATTTCTTGAACAAAAAAAGATAGATGTAAACATATATTGAAAATAATAATAATGCAGTTTTTTTCTAAATACAGGCACTACCTTATAAACACTGGAAACCAATGAAGACAAGAATGTTAAAAACTGAGCAAGCAAGATGGATTAAGCTAATGCAGTAAATAATAATTCCTTAGATTCTTGAAAATGGTGGTGTTTGAAGTTTTTTTAATTAAAGATTTCAGGAAGCCACAGACTTCTGGGTAATGTTTAAATCATTGGAAATTGATCTGACATTTAATGGCAAAACGTTGACTCTCTAATGCCGTAACAAGGTCAATAGGTCAGGGGACCTCCATTACCTAACCTTAGCTGGCCTCTTTCCGTGACATATCAGAGTATTGATCAGGGTTGTTCTGTGGGATTGGGCATAGAGTTCTTATTTTAATGTTCTTAAAAAACTGGGCCTAGCCAGTGTGTTATATTCTGCTATGATCTGCATTTTTGTGTGATCCCACTGAGGGGGTCTTGCTCTGCATCTCGTTTATCCTCCTACTTTGATTTGTCTGTACTCCCTGGATAGGACTTAAATCTTCTTTTGAACACTCTATATCCAGGTTTTATTCGCTGAGTGTCTTAACATCCTCTAGGCTTCCACACTGCATTTTGTCTTCAAACTTCATTGATCCTCCAAACTTCAGTGATGCTACCAGAATGGTAGTCAGTTTTGATGTTCATTGAGCTGTGACACTGAATGATCGAATAAAATTGGCTGCCTATATTGCTAAATCTGCCTTTGTTTTGTGACCCATTGTCAACAAAAGGGTGCTAACTTAATCTGAGACTACATTCTGTCTTTACTTACATACTCTCTGTTTGGACTCTGAGGGTGGATTCCTTTCTCAGTTTACCTGTTAGTCCTTCTATTTTATTTGATTATGGAAATGTTGGGCACTGGCTTCATAGGCCCAAACTAACTTCTTAGATTTGAACAGTGAAAGAATAATTTAACTTAATTGCTAACACTATAGAACTATGTAACTCTTCTAGCTTTTCCAAACAGCTTTCATATATATTTTCTCATTTTATTCTCCTAACACATCCGTGAAATAATTCATAAGAAAACCTTAACACTTCATCAAGCAAATGCATTCCCACTGCAGATAACTAATGTAAGCCATAGGAATAGTTTGTTCTGCAAAGGATCTGGGACAATTGATTCTTGGGCCTACGTCTTATTCTCATGTTTTTATTAAGACCATAAAAGGGGCTTGAAGGGTGTGGTGGAGATTGCAAATTGTCCACAAAAATCTCTGCTCCGTTGCTTCCATAGTAAGATAGAGTCATAACTGGGTCAAAGCTGCCTGGCCACAGACTATATTTTCCTGCTCCCTCCGCAGCTAGTTGTGGCCACAAGACTAGGTTGTTTCCACTGAAGTGTGAGCAAAAGTGATAGATGCCATTCAAGCCTTGCCTTGAGAACTTGCATGCTCACTCCTACGGCTCTTTCTTCCTTCCTACAGGCTGAAATACTGATGACAAGACAGACCTTAGAAGCCACATGTTGAAGATGGAAGGACTGCCCTCGTTCTGAGTTAGGTTCCTGAATGACTGAGTGGAGCAGAGCCCCCCACCCCCGTCCCCATTCAGATTGTTACTCTAGAGTTTTATTTCAACCATTACATTTTCAGGAATATTTACTTTAGTAATTTAGCATAACTATTAATATGGATGGCTACTTGATTATACTAGGAAAAACTTTAAGAGTACTCAAGGCAGGGCTGGTGATGAAACTGAAAATGATCAAGCCTTAACTTTACTCCCTCTCTCCATCAGATATTTGACGGGGAGAGAGAAAGTTAAGAAAACAGAAGAAAAGAATAAAAGAGGGGTAGGTCAAGGGTGGAGGAGGCAGTGTGAAGGCAAGCATTCTACCACAGAAACATTTACACCTTCTCGGAAATGAGAGTGGAATAAAAACATTAAAAAAATAGAACCACCAAAAATCGCCTCCCCCCCCCCGCCGTTTTAATTTTCTACATAAAGACTTTATTAAGTATTCTGAACTCATTGGTTAACTCATTCATCACAATGAATCAAACATGAAGAATTTAGCAAGGGTTCTAAAACAAGCCCTGCAGAACAGCCACCCTGGACACATATTGCAGAAAATAACCTCCACATTTTCTTCTTAAGTCTTTTCCAATCAAATTGTGTCTTTTCTCTTTAACGCTTATCACTTAGATCTTTATCTTAGTAGGTCATCTCAAGTCTTGCATGCTAGAATCCAGAGAAATAGAGAGACAAGCATCACCAGCATTTATTGATGGTATAACTACTTAATATCCTCCAGAGGTGCTCACACATACACGTTCACATGGAAACAGGGCCAGACAGAAACTTTAAAGGGATCTCGTAGGAGAAAGCATGAGGGGAGTGTGCAGCAACCCGCAGTCATCACTGCCCTAATAGTATCTGATCTGAACCTGGCATAGCTTCAGAAAAAGCCATGTGTTCAGGCTAAAACAAGAAAGAGAAAACAGGAGAACGTTGCTTTCTTCTAATGTGGTAAATAGGGCATGAAGGTTTTATTGTTTGCTGGTGGAACTAGTTTTACAAGTTCTCTACTTATCCATGGGGCTTAGCTTTAAGGGAGAAAAAATATTTTTATTCAGAAAATATCTTCAGATTTTGGTAGAATGTTTGAATTTGGTATCCAGGATAAACAACTAGATTAAAGTTGTCGTGTCTACATTTATTGGGACGAATTTTGAAACTGGAACTACTACATTTCAAAAGTTTTTCATGAGTGCCATACTTCCCACTTCTGTTTTTGGCATGAGGAAGTGATAAAAGAAAGCTTCTTACTTTCGTACCCTCCTCATGTGTCTCCTTATTGCTAAATTTTGGTAGATTTCTCTTATTCTTTTAAAATGTTCTCCCAGATTGTTTATTTTAAATGTCAGGAAACGGTCATTCATTTAATGGATCTAGGTCTTTGACTCTTCTTAATTTGGAGAGGAAATAGACTTTGAGTAAGAAGTCTCTGCAAGGGATCAATATGGATGCCTCTCTAGGTGAGCATGTGTGTGAGAGAGCCAGGCCCACAGCCAGTGGCACAGAATGTGACACAGAGAGAGGAGACAAAGAAACCATGAAGTCTAAAGTAATAAAATGATTTGCAAAGTTCAGGAACAATATTGAATTTGCACAGTTTTGGAAAGGAAAGAAATTTTCCTTTTAAGTTCCAGTATCTCTCAACAGAGTTGAGGGGCCTTCTCAATATGGCTGCTACTGCAGACAGTACTTGGGGGGAAAGTAGGGCAAGAAAGTGAGAGAGAGAGAGAGAGAGAGAGCCACAGAGAGAGAGAGAGAGAGAGAGAAAGGGAGACAGAGTGGGAGAAGGAGAGGGAGAGAGGGAGGAGAAAGGGAATATATGTGTGTCTGTCCGTAAAGTTCATCTCTTTCATTCTCCTCTCCTAGTTCAGTTCGCGGGAAGCAGCTCATATTGATTCTTTCGTTTAACAACTTGTCTGCTTTGATGAACACAGATCAACGTCAGCTTTTTGTGACCCTTAGGGAAATCATCTATACCTAGAGGTAAAAGTGATTGCTTTATTAAAGCCACTGTGAAATCTCTGCTTCCCCGGGAAGAAAATTATATTTTTTTCTTCATTGAAGATTAAATAAGAGAAAATAATCTGAATGAATATTATATGTCATATTCAATTTTAAAAGCTATAGAGGGAGTGCACAGATTGCCTTCAAACTTCATGTTTGGAGCTGAATATATATACATATCCATATGTTTTACATATTCTTAGTTGAGAATACTAATAAAATGATTAAGACAATAACTGAGTGTTTTTATCTGCTTACAAATTAAAGTTTTCATTACATTTAAACAACTTATTCTGAATCAAGAGCAAAGTGCTTTTCTTCCTTTCTTTGTTTGAGGAACTAAAACATGTTTTTATTCTTAACTTTTATCTTAAAAGTCTGGCTGTGCAGCTGATAGCTGGCTTAACAAGATAGCCCCACATCCTCTCCACAAGGACCTCTCTGCAATCTCATGCAGCGTGTTTGACGTTCCGAAACAATCACAAAGTTTTCTCATCTCTAATGACTCTCCAGGACTGTGAGAACTCAGGTATGCCAGAAAGGTATTTAAAAGGAACAGGAAGTACAAGTATTGGTTTTGTTCCATTCAAATTAGGGTAGCCGTATTACTGCCATTTTTTTTTTCCCAGTAAAAGCTGATTTTTTGTTGTTTTTTCTTTTTAATTTTCCCTCTCCCTCAAACTTCAGCATTCTGGATCACAAAAAATATGTGGCAATCCCATCAACAAACAGCCCATGTTTTTGTTAAGTAAATGGAGGAAAGTAGAATTGACTTTTTATTACTGAAAAAGAGACTGTTGTCAAAATAAGTTACAATCCGAGCAGCAAGAAGGGGAGATGCAGCCTGTTGCCAGCATCCCTCATGACAAGGCTGCACTAGGCAGAGAAATTAAATGGAGACCAGTTGAAAATGAAGGCTCTTTACATACTCTTTTGCACTCAACTCTCTTTTCAACCTCTCCTAGGAAGGAGAATGTGTTTTTCCTCCCAAGCAAGGAGCAGCAGGGGTTATCTTTTCTCGGACAAGCTAAAATCTGTCTCCTTGTCACAAGAGACAGACGAGGTCAGAGAGGACTCTCCCTCCCAGAACCAGAGTGCAGAAGCTGTGATTCTGGTTCATGACAAGAACGACAGGTTCTTGTTGGGGGAGCAACAAAGATGCCATCTCGCTTGCTGGACCACATATCACAGCACCGATGTAAAAATTATACATATGACTTTTTGAGCCATGCCAAGGACCCTTTTCCTATTTTAGTGTCATTGCAGTTAGTTTGTTTGTTAGGTGTGACATCATTTTTTAAGTGCCATGAAACTCTACAAAGAGTTGAAAGATCGTAATATGGTCCTGTGGGGACACCACTGCTTGAAAAGCAAAAATGCGTATTAATGTATAATGTGTATTAAACATGTTTCAGCAAGGATGAGAAAGAGTAAACTGTTTGAAGATGAATACATGTGATTGGAAGTGTTTTTACACAGCTTTTCCCTCCAACTATTTGTTTTGAAATATTTAAAACCTATAGAAAATTACAAGTATAGTGCAGTAAACACGCATATGTCCTTTATGTAGAGCTGTGCTAGTAGGGTAGCCGCTATCTGTGTGTGACTATCGGCCCCTTGAACAGTGGCTAGTCCAAATTGAGATGAGCTGTGCTACATGCCTTTCTAAAAATAAATACTTCCTAAAGTGTTCTGAAAAGTTAATAGATACTTTGACCCCAAACCGAGCAGCTAAAAATTACAGATATATAAAGGTATGGATATATAATTTATATTGTGTATGTCATATATACACATATATAATATGAATTTATATTAATATATACAAAAAACGTGTATATGTGTATCTCTGTGTGCAAATGTTTATCTGTGGATCTAGTCTTTATTTTCTATAAATCACTCAGAAAAAAGTAATTGACGAGGTGGGATGAGGGTGTAGGCATCTTTCAGAATGTTTGTGCTGTTTCTCCTCTAGCATGATAAAGAGTAGCCCTAGGCCTAGAATATACTTCCAAGTGAAACTTTTGAAAATATTTTACGGCATGCCAGTATTGTTTGGGGAAATATGTTAACCACTTTTTTCCTATCATTTTTAACCAATAAAGTAACATATTTCCTTTAAAGAAGAAATTGAAACTATCATATAGTATTAAAATTCTCTGAGATTCATATTTTCCCAGTACCTTTAGTAAATATATATGAAAACATATATATATATATATATATTATTTTTTTTTTACAGATTTGGAGTCATAGATCTGAGTAATGTTCTGTGTCCTGCTCTTTTCCATTTAAAATTATATCATGAGCATTTTCTAAATTATTAAATAATACAAAGAACTCCTCTCTTTGAGAAATTGTTATTGTTTTCATTTCTCCCTGTTGTACATAAGGCCGTGGGTTAATCTTTGCTTTTATTTAGTTTTCCTTGAACATAATTATTTGGTACACCACCTGATTATTTTCTCAGGATAACTTGCAAAGAGTGAAATTACTAGGTCAGAAGATATTAATAATTTTTAGCTACTTGATTCATATTGCTGAATAGCTCTCCAGCAAAATTGTATCACATGAAACTCTCACATGATATTTGAGAGGGACAAGTCCATTTGCCAACACTGGTCATTATACTTAAAAACATCTTTCTCAATTTGTAACAGAATCTGCATCTGGTTTTATTTTGCAAGTGAGAATTCACTGTTTTTTTTTTTTTTGCATTTGCTTATTTGTCTTCTTCTATTTGTGAATTGCCTCTTCCTATCCTTTCTCCACTTTTGTTTTGAGAAAGTCAAAGTTTTCTTACTAATTTGTTTTTCTGTTGATTATTCAACCCTTTGTTATATAACATTGCAATTTGGTTGTTTATCAGGTTTTCTTTTGACTCTTGATTTTTGTGTATTTGTTTCATAGAAATTTTCACATCTGTTTGGTAAATCTATCAATCTTATCCTGCCTGGCAGTGGTTTTCAAATTTCGTGTGCCTCAGAATCTCCTAAGTGTGTTCATTAAAACACAGATTCCTGGGCCCTACCATCAGGGTATATTACTCCTAAATCCTTTGGTATGGCCCTGGCAACTGTTTTTAGCAAATAACCCAGCTGATTCTAAATTAAGTAGATAATTAGTTATTAAATCACACTGTGGAGTAACTGCTTTGCAATTTTTCACCTTGGTTTAACACTTAGGCCTTCTCACAGTAATATCACATTAATAGCTATCTATATTTTCTCCTTTTCATTTTTCTACCTTTATCTATTTCATTCAGCTGGAATTTATTTTAATATATGCTTTATCCAAAAATATTAAACTGTTTTTCCTAGCTCAATTTATTGAATTACAATGCATTTCTCCACTAATTTACAATTTTACAGTATCTCCACTAATTTACAACTTTATCATTTACTACAATTTATAAATATTTGAATCTATTGCTGAGTTTGTTTTATCTGTCCCATTGATTTATTTGTCTATTCCAGCATACTGACTTTTTTTCTTTTGGTGAGGAAGATTGGCCCTGAGTTAACAATTTAACATTTGTTGCTAATATTCCTCTTTTTGCTTGAGGGAGATTGTTGCTGAACTAAAATCTGTGCTAGTCATCCTCCATTTTGTGTGTGGGATGCCGCCACAGCCTGGCTTGCTGAGTAGTGTGTAGGACCACACCTGGGATCCAAACCAACGAACCCCAGGCTGCCGAAGTGGAGTGCACAATTTTAACCACTATGCCACTGAGCTGGCCCTGAGAATACTGTTTTAATTACGGTATCTTTTGAATATATTTGGTACTATGAACAGTGTCTTCTTTTCATTTCTCTTCTTACTCAAAACTATTTTGGCAATTCTCACCTGTATAATTAAAAAAAATCAGTTTGTCAAACTAAAGTTATTTTTAAAATTTTCTTGGAGTTGTATTTAATTTATAAAATAATTTGAAGAAATGTCACATCTGTGCAACATTGAGGCTTCTCCTACTAAAAGATTGTGTATTTCTATTTCTATTTATAGCTTCTTTCATGGTTGCTATGGTCTGAATGCTTGTGTCCCTTCACAATTCAGATGCAGTCAGTGCTGGTCATCTGGTGGTTAAGATTCGGCATTCTTACTGCCATAACCCAGCTTCATTTCCTGTTCAGGGAATCATACCACCCACATGTCAGTTGTCATACTGTGGCCGCTGCATGTTGCTGAAATTATGGGACCCGTATTTCAAATCCCAACAGGGTCCCCATGGTGCACACGTTTCAGCAGAGCTTCCAGACTAATTCACACCTAGCTACCCACTTCCAAAAACGTTGCCCTTGAAAACCCTATTAGCAGTAGCGGAGCACTGTCTGATATCGCACCAGAAGGTGAGAGTATGATGCAAAAAGACAGGACAGGTTTCCGCTTTGCTGTATCCATGGTCTCTGGGAGTCAGAATCGACTGGAGGGCACTAATAACAACAAAAATTAATATGTTGAAATCTTAACCTTCAAAGATGATAGTATTAGGAGGTAGGCTTAGGTCATGAGTGTGGAGCTCTCTTGAATGAGATTAGTGCCGCATTAAGAGGCTTGCACCAGAGAGATCTTGCACCCCTTCCACCCTGTGAGGACACAATGAGAAGGTGTTGGCTGTGAATCAGGAAAAGAGCCTCCACCAGAAGGCATAATATGCAGATGTGATACTCAGATACTTATCAGAAGGATAAAGATGGGTCTTGTTACTTTAACGTACTACCATTCTGCTGTTCTAGCAAGGATGAGAAATACTGGTAAGTAAAAAACTTTTTGGGGCTGGCCAGGTGGCACAGTGGTTAAGTTTACACATTCTGCTTCAGTGGCCTGGGGTTCACCAGTTTGGATCCTGGGTGCAGACATGGCACTGCTTGGCAAGTCATGCTGTGGTAGGCATCCACATATAAAGTAGAGGAAGATGGGCAAGGATGTTAGTTCAGGGCCAGTCTTCCTCAGCAAAAAGAGGAGGATTTTGAGAAGATGTTAGCTCAGGGCTAATCTTCCTCAAAAAAAAACCCAAAAAGTTTCAATAGTGCTTTGATGGTCTGCCCTCTTTGTTTAACTCTTTGTTTAGCCCCTGAACTGATCAATTCTCCTGATTTGCATGCCTCCAATAAAATTTTTCCTTTTTTACATAAAATGCCATTTTTTGGATAACAAAATATAGAACAAAAACGTTTTAATTTTAGTTGCTTTTTGGAAGCCCTCATAGCAGAGAGCTGAATTGCATCCCAACGTTGCAGCTTTTAAAAGCTGTCAAGATTGGCACTCCCCAGTCAAAATTTGTCATTGCTTTTACTCTATCCATTTTTGGAAAAAGATTCACATAAACAATTATACGTAAATAAATAGGAAAAGTTCTTTTCCTGCTAGTGCAGAACTTTATTATACTGTTAAAGCTGTTCTGAAGCAGGGTAAAATTGAGCTGAAAGCTGCGAAAGAAGGTCCTTGGGATGATGAACAGAGGTAGGTCCCTTCTTGGTGGCCTCAAGGGTGGATGCTCCCTGCTTCTCTCGTTTCCTCATCT